CACACTCCCTTCTTCATCATTCTATTGTGAGTGAGCGAAAACTGAAACAAAAAAAAAACAGCCGAAAAAAGAACCGAATACAGAGTTTCGCTATTGTACAGATATATAGCTGATGACTGACTAAATCTACAACAAACGACAAGTTAACCGACCGTTCTACAGCCAAGAACGATAAAGACCGAAAACGACAGAGACTCATCACTACAAATGCTTATTGTTAGCATAGCTGCTCACTCGAATTAACGTTGTGTGATACGATAGAAACTGTGATAGAATTTGGTTTATTGCTTTTGCTGATATTGATATATGATTATTAGTATTTTCGTTGTGATCACGTGTTTGGTCACATGAAAACCTCACACCTCAGTCACCTTTTTTAACGATTAACATTTGTCACAACAGTCGTTGCGCAAATTTCATGGCAACCATTAATGTTCACAATTGACAATCAATGTTCATTTAATCATTAAGGGTAGTGTTTTTGGAGTGCTAATTAATAAAATATTATTCGCATACTTTTGGCCTTCGCATTTCTTGACTGAGGTCATAATTGCATTAATCAGTTAACGATTCATCGAATCGTTTCTTTGTTGCATCGATTATCGTGATTGGTGTTCGTTTATGATTTAATGATTATTACGAAGTGACTGACTGACTGACTGACTGATTGATTGATTGATTGGTTGATTGATTGATTGGAATGATGTTATTTAAGTGTGATTCATCTTCCGAACGAAGATTCATTCAAAACGAATTCGAATAAGCATTACTCATTTGCGTTACCTAAGATCTTGTTTAGAGATTTGATCATCGCAGCGCTTTTCAATGAAATCACTTCGTTTTCGATGAATTTTTTACGCTTGAAGAAAGCTTTCACACTGCAGAGTGATAGATACATATGTAAATACATTCTATGAGATGAAAGCATAAGCACATCATCAATAACAACTCTATTTACTATTTGCTATTGATCGCTTGAGAGCAAATTGTTTTTATTGGTAAGTGCGCTTCATACTGAATTGCATTCTGTGGCCGTTGTTCCATAATAATATTTCTAATTTCGAACAAAAAAGGCTAATGCTCACTGGAATTCAATTTAATGCTGTTTAGGGTAGACAGAACAGAACGTGCTTATCTATTAAAAAAGTGAGTAAAACAAGGTACAACAAACAATTTTATGTAGGTACTGTATTAACGAACAGCATTGTGTATCTTTTTTACTCGAATAATGGAGTGAATGAATGCGCCTAAAAGAATACTCTATGCTGACTGTCACCTAAGCAGATGGAATAGATGTTGGTTTAAAGAATGGATATTGCAGGATTAAATACTCATGATTTTTGAAGAATTCGTTATTTACCAGAAAGTCGAAGTATAAAGTCGAAGTAACTACGTTCTGCTGGACGCTTGTTGCAAAATCGGTAAGAGAATTCGCTTCCTTTGTTGTGACCGCAAATGATCGACCAAATCAAGTTCTTTTTTGTTGTTTTCAGAAATCATCTGAGTAAATGGGGAAATTCTATCGGGAGAACTAAAGAAACTTGGTAAAATTGGGTTTGAAAGGCATGCCATAAAAAGGATTCTATTTGGTTGATTCATTAATGCGCAACTAGAACCTAAAAAGATTGACTGGGTCAAAGGGAAGAGAACCATACTTATTTCAGTAATATTGTAATAGTTTATTCGAGAATATTTTGATGGTTATCACGTGCGACAATGATCCGTATTTAATGTCAACTGTTGTGTTTGGTGAAAACATTGCAATGTCTTTTTGAACATGTGGGCATGAACCGTTCAGAAAGATGTAACCTTTCGGCCATATTCATTTCTTGTTCATCTGCTACATATATCCGTTTTTGTTTGACAAATTCATTCCTTTCTCGTGTGAAAATCTACAACATTTTATATCGTTCACTGGTTCATTCACATTCGTAGTTATCATCTTATCATTCATTTACTTTCATCGCATTCTCTTTAGCATCGCTGCATCTTCTTCACTGCACAGTTCTTTCTGCAATAATCCGAAAATATTGTTTGCGTATCAGTTCTTGTTGCAAGATTACTCCTTTGTTTTCTCTAAAAAGCTGTGGTACTTTGAACGAGCCTCTTTCACCCGGTCACATCGTTCCCACCTAAACATGTGAACCCACTATTGAAGTCATGTTTTGTTATCGCCATGATGTTTTCTGCTACTCTCTTTTCACCTTCTCCTTCTTTCACGTCAATAATCTTTAATTCATCCTCCACGAACTGTCGCAAACACCCCGTTTCCTTCCGAACGTTCCATCGGTACCAGATCGTTTTAACCATTTCGAAATCACATTCAGCTTCAACCTCAAAGTGCGGCGTTTCGCCACCACTCCTTTCATTGCATGTAAAGTCGCTCG